TTTTAATAGGATAGTCTTCAAATATCAGACATCAAATTGAGAATTAGGTTTAGGAATAGCTGGATAATAGTATGCATCTGCACACTTTCTCCATGAAAGCGAGTCTGTTCCATGAAGACATTATTCCTGTGGGATCCTGTGGTTCAACAACAGAAGAGAAAAACCTTCCAGTTCTTCAATTCCTCACCTCACACCAAACCCCCATGCATGAATAAGTCTTTTGAAGATCTGTTTTTCTCTTCGCTCTACTCCTAGTGCTAAAGAAGTCAGCTTACAAAACAGATTGCTTTTTTTTTTCTGTTTGTATTTTTATAGTTCTGTTAAGGACATGTTCCAATTCCATCTCCCAAGATTCCTCCTCAGACTTGTTATCTTGCCCTGAGAACCACATTAGTGACTTAATCCAAGTCAGGAAAGATCCTTAGTGGTTTAGCTCTGCAGTTCTAAAGGGCTGCAATGCCTTTAATTGCTTTTGCATTGAATCTTTGATTCTCGCTGCTTTCCCATATGTGCTTTTACAAGTGGTTATAGGTGGAGAAAAATGGGCCCCAGTCTTTGCAGATATTGCAGTAATAAATATTACACAGGCCAGATTCTGCATACTTCAGCCACTGTAAAGGGAATTTAAGACACACTACAGTGTCCATGTGTTGGCAAGCACAGGGACAACTCTCCTGTCCCATCTGACTGATGCACTAGTCTTTGTGAATCCCACTGTAGGTGGGTGCATTCCTCAGGCACAGTGCAAGGACTTTCTGTGTCTCTACATGTTGTGGATTGAGCTGTTGGGCCCAGTCCTAAGGACAACAAAAATAGGAAAATGCCCCTTACAGTAGTTCTTTGGGACTGAGTTCTGGTACAAGTAGTCTGAAAAGGGGGAAGAGGAGCTTTTCCCTGTTTTTAATTATTCCAGTGTTCAGAGGACCCTCATGTCTGCATGCTAAGGAAGGAAACTGGGAACTGTATTACCAAGAAGTCTGGCTCCATCATCCATTGGGTCTTTTTTAAAGAGGATCTGTGTATGACCAAAATCTGGTCAGCTTAGCCCCAAAAGAGGACACAGCTATTGACGTGCAATATATCTCCAGACTGAACTCAGTTCTTTCATTCTGGGATTGGAATGTGCCTAGTTGTGCCTAGTTGTTGGTCCCATCCCTTATCAGCTGTAGTCCTGTTTGGCACTCTTTGTACCACACAACATCCAGATCATTCCCTCAGTCTGCTGAGAACTACGTTGTAGTTTCTGTACATTTACATGCATGACAGTTACTAGATAAGGATAGAGTGCACAAACGTAACTTCCAAAACAACCTCAGTTTTACTTTGAGTAGGCGTTCTTGCATATACTTACCGTGTTCAGATTTTTTATGCTGCCTCCAGCTATGTAACAGAGTATATGGCCACAAAACTTATCCAGGCTTGTACATAACCGTGTCACAGGTCCTTTCAGAAATCCGATTTGGTGCATGGTTCCTTTGCAGCCAAATACTAACTGAAGGAAGGGAAAAGCGCAACACTTTTTTTTTCTCATTACAGGAGCATTTTATGCAAGAAACTGTTGCTAATAGCCTAGCCTCCTAACTCAGTATTCAAACATTGCTGAAACAGCTTGCCCTCCCAGTACCTCTCAAAATACCTTTTTCCCCATAGTGCATCACAGATCCTTCCTTCTTCATATTACTGACATTGATCCTGGAGGAAGCCATCCTTCAATTTCTAGCCTAGTGACCTCAATGCTTACTCATTTCTGAAGTTCCAGAGATTGTCATGGCTGTTATTGCAGCTCTTGTTTAGTTCCTCCTGCATGAGGCCAGCAAAATACTAGTTAACAGCAAGAGTCCTGTGACGAGACAGTTTCTCAAGTCTCCTACTTCACTGGGACCTTCTGCTACAAGTCCTATATCTGCAGTATTTTCCCCACAGAGTTTGGGAACGGATTTTTCAAGAGCACTCGATTCATCCCAAGCTCAGTATCAGCATGTCACCTGTTTGGGAACACTTCATCTCAGGTTGAGTGAAGCCTGTGAAGGTAAGTCAGGCATTGGGCCTCTTTGAAGGAAAAATGACATACCCTGAGCAGTGGTTCAGGAACATTTGTTATCTTAATCAGAGGGCTTGTAGCATGTGAGCATGTGGTTACTGGGCCCAGAGCACAGAACATTTTCACCCGTTTAGCCAGCTCAGGGTATGTAGAAAATGCTATGAATCCTGCAGACACAGAAGAGACAGCTCGAGTTAATGAAGACATCTTCCACAGACAAAATAAATAAATAAACAGTAGGCAGATAGATAACAAGAAGTAAGACTAGATTTGCAGCCCATTGTCTGTTGTCCGTGTTTGTCTGTGTTGCATGTTTTACCTAAAAGACAAGTGTTGAACTGGAGTCCTGAAATTAATGTTGTTTGGGAAGCAAAGTTCACTCTGAGGTTTAGAGCATGTTTGGACATTGCCTTTATCAGAACAGTTTTTGTAGGCAACATGTCAATGAGGTTTTCATGGTAAAATCAATTCCCTCTAAAGTTCAAAAAAATTCACAAAACCCAATTTTTTTTAGATTATAGTCTCTAAAGGTCTAGGTATGTTTATGCTTCCATGAAACTGTAGAATAATTAGCTGACCTCTGAGTGTTTGCAGCTCATGAGGATCTTTAAATACCCTTGTGAGAGGAAAAGAAAGAAAAACTGTGGAGCTGTGACTTTTCCACATTTCCTTCTCTTTTTTTCTGGGTTGTTTACACTAATGAACTGGCAGATGCTCATTTCTAATCAATGTCCTTTCATGCATCTTACACAAAAACCATAAACATCAGGAACTTTCAACTGACACTAAAAAAAAGTTAGTTGCATTCAGAGACCATAAAGTGAGATAATGCTAAAGGCTGGGACTAAGAGAAAATAAGTTATTAATGTTTTTTCTTTCCTAATTTTCAGTCTCTGGCAATATGTTTTTAAACAGTAATGTGGCCAGTTATAGCCACTCATGAACTATGCTTTAAATTGTAAGATTGCCATTAAGTCACATGACTTAGTAATGTTAAGGTTCTTTTTCCTTGTCTTCTGATATTTGAGATTATGCATTATTTGTGCTGTTTTACCTTTTTAGCTTTTACTTCCCGTTCACAAGGAAAAAAAAAAAATCTGTCTTAATACAAAAGATGAAAGTAAAGAAAATTCCTCTTGCTAAGAATTTCAGAAAAATACCCAGTGCCAGTACCTGAAATACCCAGTAAATAACCACTTTCATGTCTCTAATTACTTAAAAAGTTGAACTATACTTGGATTTGCCATTAGGTTTCTAGGCTTATTAAGGGTAACCAAAGCAGTTTTTGGAAAAATTTTACATATTTTCCAAATCTCAACTCGGAAGGCACTTCTATGTTTGATAACTCTCCACAAACAAGAAAAACAACTGAATCAATGGGGAAACCCACCTACTGATCAGATAGGAACACGAATGGTTGTGAACCGTGAGTGTCCTGACATTACCTGTTGTTGTGCCTTCAGAGTGACCAACATAATATATATCCTTCTGTCCAGTTTTATTCATGATGAAGTACAGCTCTGCTGGAATATCGTATTTACCTATCTCATCGAAGCTACAGGGGAGAAACACAAAAAGCTAGCAGATAAGTTTGACTATCACAGTACGAGTTACTGAATGTCAGTTTTGTTCATTGCACCAAGCAGAACCCATTGAAAGATGAGGTTGCACGCTTTGTCTGCATTCTAGCTTGAGTTGGGGAAGGGAGTAAAGGGACACAGCTGTACTGCCAGGCTGCCCAATGCCTTGGGCTCTCTGCAGAGGAGGTGCTAGTTTCACCTGTCAGCTGCAGCCCTTGGGGAACTGAATTTAAACAGTGCTTTCATTAGAATGGGTTACAAAAGACATTTCTCTCTTGATTGAATTCAGCTGTGAAAGATCAGAGATTTCTAGACAAGGCTGCTCAGCCTGTTCCAGCTGAGATTCTTGCTCTCCCTCTCACGGTACTGTCTCCCTTTTCCTCTGCATTCCATTTCTTTTCCCAGTGTCTGAAATATCTTCCCCAGGCAGTGCTCCCAACTCTGAGTAGTAGTGACCATCCTTCTTTGTCCGGTTATTTTCTCTCCTTGGTTGGTGTAAAACCTGTTCTGATGCTGGTTTAGGTAAAAACCATCAGGCTGAAGCTATCTAGTCCCCTTGGTGCTTCTGTCTTGAGTAATTCTTCCTCTACAAAGTACCTGAACTGCCAGAACTCTTTCTGGCTGGGATTAAGGGTCTTGTGTTTTAAAGACCAAGTGTTCCCTCGGCTGTTTCCCATCCAGACATCATAGCCAGCATCTGCAAGGAGGAAGCCCAAGCTGTTGTTGGGAAGGTTAGAAATCCAGTGGGTAGCATCTCCTAGAAAAGCATGCTGTAGGAAGACTGCTGGCTTTTGCCCTGGAAAAGATGAAAATATTCTTATATTGAAGCAGTAGTTAATGTGTATTTGAGGTTGGGGTGCAGAGTTTAGTTTGTGAGAGGTTTTAAATCTTTTCTTCTTCAAGAAGCTCCCAGGAGAACTATGCCTAGATATTGGTCTGAGAAACCTGAAGGATTTGCTCCATGCAAGAAGGAACTGTTTCATGACATTTCATAACCATTTCATGAGAGGACTGGCAAAGAAACAATTTAATGAGTAGGCCTGTCCTCATCTCCTCTTGCACTGGAAAGCCAACGTACAGGTCCCTGTGTTGAAACATCTACCCACAGCTAAAAACTGCTGAAGGCAGAACAGTGTATGGAAGACAAAGAATAATTGATCCAAAGCAGCATATCTACCCTTAGGTCTATTCAGTAACCAACTGAGCAGGGCTGAGAGGCCCCTGATCTAACTTTGGTTCACCTTACTTTGAGAGTGAGGATGGTCCAGGTGATCTCCGAAGGAAGAGATCCAAATAGGAGTAGGCATCCAAAGCAAATTATTCTATAATTCTAACAAGCAGTAATAAACCAAATAGCAGTATCCAGTGTACCTCAAATGCCAGGTATAAATTTTTATTCCATTCAGAAAATGTGAAGAAACAGATTAAATGCATTTGCTTTTCATTGATAACCTGGTATTTTATCACCTTCCTTAAGAATATCTCTGTACTTCAGAAATTTGGGAATTAATATTCATATGCCTAACCTGAGAGGCTTTGTTGTCAGTCTTCTATTTTAAATGTATATTACTTAGAGTGTTAATGCAAAATCTCCCCAAATCCAGTCTACCAAACCCTCACCTGGGCCACATGAAAGAAAAAAACTGGGATATGGGAAAAAATTATTAGAAAAGTCTGAAATAAGGACAGAGACATTGAATGTGTGGACTTCATATGGATTCAGAATTCAGGCCACATTCCTGACTAGGTGC